TGCACGCCCGCGCGTGCGGAGGGGCCTCGGCTCCGGATGCACACCTGCTGGAAGTCTGCACCCGCGGCGGCCTTCGCTCTCTTGCTGCGGAGGTGTGCGAAGCCAGATCGGGCCCTCGCTGATGTCCACGATCCGCGTCTGCGGAATTTTTTATTACAGGCGGCCGGGATTAGTAGGTCGACCCTGCCAAATCAAGGGTACCCTTGTGTCCTGTGTCTCGCGGCCCATGCCTCCGACATTCCTGTGGCAATGTGGCCCTCGAAAGGGTATTGTGTCCTCTCGCGTGTCCTGTCCAATCAAGACCGACTGTATGCATGTCGTTGGCGACAGGTGGGATCGTTCCGAACGGGCCACAGAGAGGTCAGAGTCATGGCCGCTCGGTGCGTCGGGTGCTGGCGCCAGGCTGCATCGCCGATGGTCCGAGCGAGGCGTCTCCGCTCACGCGGATCCCCTCTGAGTCGCATGCGTGTGGGCCCGTTTGGGAGGCGCAGATGCGGTTGCGCCCACGCCCGTCTCCTTCTGGCCCTGGGGGATGTGCTGTGGGGCCTGGTGGGAGGGCCGGCGTCTCGGGGGCTCGACGATCCTCAGGGCGTGTGTTTGCCAAGTGTGCGCCTGCCCCCTCCAGCTCCACCGACAGCATGCGGCCTGCGCCGCCCCCAATCTGCACGCAGCCTGCGTCGCATCGAGACAGGCTTCGGTGGACGAGAACGCGGTTTGGCCAGCGCGCGTCTTGAGGGCCATCGGGGAGCCCACTGGAGGCCCGACGGTGGTGCCAGGGCCGGGCGAAAATATTTATCGGCGCCCTCATCGGGCTGCCTCGGTCTGACCCTTGGTATCGCTCGGACGTGTGCGTTTTTCCTCGGCGAGGACCATCGAGGAGCATGCTCGATCATTTGGCGAAAAAGCCACGCACGCAACCGAAAAAAAGCACAGGGAATGGACGTCCGAGCGATGGCCAGGACCCTGCCAAGCCCAGGGCAGTGCCCCTCCGTGCTGCCCGCGCCTGCAGGTGCCATGGTGGAGGCCATGCGGTTGGTCACTATTGGCCCGGAAACGAGAGCACAGAAAGTCTGGACCAGGACATCGCACACCGGGATTTTGCCAGATCCAGCGGGAGAAGGCAGAAATTTGGAGAATGTTTCGGCCCAGGGCGGTTGGTTCTGTCAACGTCCCAGTTTACGGGGCCCCGAGGAAGGCCGGAGGCACAGGGGTGGCATGGGAGCACGGGACATCTTCTGCAGTCCTTTCCTGCTACCTGGGGGGCCCACAGAAGTTCACCGAGCAGAGAGCGCGTCTGCGACGCAAAGCAGTTTGTTCCACAGAGGCAGGGTGCCCGCACGCTCGGATGCAGGTTTCTCTGTTTCTCTCGTCTTCTCCTCCCTCGCTGGCCCCTTCACTCGTCCCGCCTTCCTCTTCGCGCCTTTCTCCTGCCGCTGCTCCTCCGTTTCTTCCTCCCCTCTCTTCAGGAGGGGAGGAAACACACAGACATGATTAGTCGTCGCCTCCCATGAAAATATAGGAAAATATGGGAATTGGGCGGGAAGACAGAAACCCACAAATTTGGGAAAATATGGGGATTTTTTTTATTCGTGTGTATTTATTTGTGTGTCCCTGGGCCCATTCATTTCTTCTCCTAGGGGAACGGAGAATGGCATAAACAGAACAACTCGGAGGTCCGCGCGGAGTTCTCGGATCGGCGCTGGGCCCCCCTCCCTGGCGCGCGGAGCGCGCCGGGGGCGGCGCCGGAGCACCAGAGGGGTCCAGCGTGTATCCGAGAAATCCGCGCGGACCTCCGAGCTTTATGTTGATGTCACTCTTCGTTCCCCTATCTCCTGCCACTAACTCCAGCCAGCCAGCCAGCCAGCCAGCCAGCCGGCCGCCTTCCTGCCCTCGTGCGCCCAGCTCCTCCGAGCCCCTGTCCTCCCCCGCCGTGATGTTGTCTCTTATCCCACGCCTCCCGCCCCACCCTCCCTCTGGCCTACCCCCTGGCCTCTGTCTCTCTCTCTCTCTCTCTCTCTTTTTGTGTTATCCTCCCTCTCTCTCTCTCCCTATCCCTTTCTCACTCTCTCTCTCTCTGGGTAGTCGAAGGCCAGACTGTCAGACTGGATTGGGCCCCAAGGGCCAATCTGGCCTGGCCATATTGGAGGATTTGGGTTATTCGCCAGACTGGATTCGCGTTGGCTCCCTCGCCAGATTGCCCCCGTTTGCCAGATTGGGCCTGCCAGATTGGCGCCAGATTGGCTTCGACTACCCAGTCTCTCTCTCTCTCTCTCTGGCTTTTTTGGTTTTCCTCTAGCTCTCTCTCTCTCTCTCTCTGTCTCTCCCCCTCTCTCTCTCTCTCCCTCTCTCTCCTCTCTCCCTGTTCCCTTCTCTCCCTGTCTCCTGCACTCCTGCGCCACACCATCGGCAGGAGACGAGCGCCGAGCGCGGGTCTCCGTTCGTGGAAGAGGCCCTGCAAGCACCACCTGCTCCACAGAAATCTCGCCTGGAGTCCCTCTGACAGGGCGGTTGTAGGAGCTTCGGAGGAGGAGGTTCGGAGGAGGAGGAGGAGGAGGAGGAGGAGGACGAGGACGAGGAGGAGCAGTGAGTTTGGGCCTCGCGGATGGGATCAGATCAGATGGGGTCGGAGTTTTGCGCCGCATCGCCGATGCACCGCCGACGTCGCCGACGCACAGCCCGTGTACCAGTGATGCATCGACGATGCGGCGCGATCCTCTGATTCCATGTGCTCGGACCCCAGTTGGGGGGCCTCTGGTCAGCGCTATCGGGATGAAAAGCGGGCGGCGACATGTAATGAAAGCTTCGGGCTTGGAGTTTGAGGGACAGGCATGCGCTGGTGCCAGGAGGTGGACAGCACCAGGAGCGTCGATGGCGGGGGCAGGGAGGATCGAGACATTGAAGGACAGATTTGATAAGGTGTACGAGAGAGAGAGAGAGAGAGAGAGAGTAGAGAGTAGAAAGAGAGAGAGAGGGAGAGAGAGAGAGAGAAAGGGAAGAGAAAAGAAGAGAGGAAACGAAGGAGAGAGAGAGAGAGAGAAAGAGGGGGAGGGGGAGGGGGAGGGGGAGGGGGAGGGATAGAGGGGGAGAGAGCGCGCAAGATCGATTTAGGTCTGGTCCGGGTCCCGCCGCGGAGCTGCTCCTACCCCCTTGGCGCGGTCCGTAGGACCCCGACCGGGTAGCAGAGCGGGTCTGTGGTGAACAGGCCATTCTTCTCCTCCTCCTCCTCCTCCTCCTCCTCCTCCTCCTCCTCCTCGCCTCCTCCTCCTCCTCCTCCTCCTCCTCCTGCTCCTCCTCCTCCTGCTCCTCCTCCCCCTCCCCCCTGCCCCGTGCTCATCCTCCCCGTCTGCACACGAAAAACAGGCGCCGTCTGCAGGTGCGGGTTGGCATGCGCGCTTCGGTACCGCCGTGAACCAAGGGCGCCGCTCTGGGGCATCCCCCGCAGCGGTCCAGTGTTAGAGCTACGGATGGGTTGCCAGCAGTTCTCGCGACGTACTCAGAACGCTGAGAGGCTAGCGCTGGTGTGCTAGCGGTGAGCACCGAGGCGCGCTTGGTAGCGCTTGGGGAGTCCCCACGGTGAGCAGGCGATCGGAAGGCTTGATGAAGGTCGTTCCAAGCTATCTGTGTTCTTGGGAATCTGTCGAGACGGTGTCCTGACTGTCCCTGGGTGTTGCGCAGGATCTGAGTAAGGCTGGTAGCGCACTCACGCCGCGCCGTGATGGTGGTAGTGCGGGCAGTTCCGCGATCGTGGTCGGCAGGTTGACTGGCAACCATGAGGCGTTGCGGGGTATGACTCCATTCGGAGGTCTGCACTGGAGATTCGGATGCCTTCACCCTACTGGGTGGTGCTGAGGCCGTGGAGAGAGTGGGAGAGAGGGAGACGGAGAGGCAAACAATTTGGAGAGGGGGAGAGACGAAGGAAAGGGAGGGAGAGATATGGACAGAGAACGGTAGAATGGGAGAACGAGGGGAGATTGAGGGCAGTGGCAACTGCACCGGCGCAGGTCATGGCGAGACGAGTCTGTAAGTTCACACTCTGGGAAGCCAGGGGATGCATGGATCGGAGCCGTTGGCGGCGAGTCGCCGTCTCGAAACGCCCGCGTCTGTCACTGTCGAACGCGGCAACGCTGGTGGGCTGCGATTTCCCGAGCCGTCGAGGAATCCAGTGTGGTAGCGCTACGCCTCCCTGCAAAAGTACTCCAGATTTCGTCATAAAGGGAGGGGGGTCTCATTCCGGGTGGGGGGTCTCTTCCAGGCTATCTTGGAGGGCCTGGGGGGGCCTGGGGACGATGTTTTGGAGGGTTCTCCCAAGGGGGGGGGATCTAAAGCTTCTCGTCTGGGAGGGTTGAGACCCCCCCCCTTTTATTACGAAATCTGGAGCAGCGCAGGCATTCGCTCCGTGCCGGGAGGCAGCGCAGCAGTCGGCCCGCGCGGCGCCCCTCTGCGCGGGCACGGAGGGCCGAGGGCGCGTTTCGCGAGCTGCATAGCTTAGCATAGCATAGCATAGCATAGCGCAGCATAGCATAGCATAGCATAGCATAGCATAGCATAGCATAGCATAGCGCAGCATGGCATGGCATAGCATGGCATAGCAACTGATGCTGCTTTCCTAGGGGCTCCAACTTCTAGGTAGGGTCGCACTGGGGTCATTTTCCAGGCAGGCCCAGGGCCACTGCGTCCACCCTGGCACTCACCCACACAGGGGCTGAGGAGAAGGGCCCTGAAGGGGCCCTCGAGAGCCTCTGCTGGAGCCGGCAGCGGGCCCCTTTCGGGCCCTTTTCTTCACCCCCCGTGGCGGTAACCCCCCAAGGCCACCCGCCAGATCAGGGCCCCCTCGCCTCGAGTCAATGCGTCCCCGTGGCCCCCGTGGGGTCGCGCACGTGCCACGGGCCATGGTCTGCGAGCCAACCCCTCGGGCGCCCCCGAGGGCGCTCTCGGGCGCCCCGGGAGGCGCCGTTCCAGAGCTCCGGCGGGAGCTGCGCGCTCGTGATCGCGAGCGGGGCACCCGAAGAGGAGGAGGGAGCTGCGCGCCGTGAAGAGGCCTTGGGCCTGTCAGGACGTTTTCGTTCCTGGCCTCTGGGGCCGTAGCGCGCGTTATGCTCCCCTTCCCCCCCCCCCTCTATATAACGGAACGCTCCTTCCCGCCCAGTGCGTCCCTGGCACTGCCGCAGAGCGTCTGGCATCACAGTGTGTCACGGTGTGAGGGGGGAGGGGGGGGGGGCGGGTGCTACGTCACGCCCCCCCCCCCCCCCCCCAACGCCCGTTCTCGCCGCGCCAAAAAAATAGGATCCTTCTTTGACTTGGGGTCTTCTCGGTTGCCGTCCGGGGCAGTCTTTGATGGGCGTGTTTTGCACCACCACCACCATAAGTTGGAGGGGGGAAGGAGGAGGAGGACGAGGAGGAGGAGGAGGACGAAGAAGAGGAGGAGGAGGAGGAGGAGGACCCCCTCCCCCTCCAACTTATGGTGGTGGTGGTGGAAAAGAGGCCCATCAGTCTTGGGAGCTCCCCTTGGGGGCCGTCCTGGGGCGCTCCTTGGGCAGCCGGGCGCCCTCTCGGAGGCCGCCCTGCGGCCCCGGTTCTCCCTTGGGCCGCCTCGGAGGCCCTCCGGGGGTCCTTGCAGGCCATCTCGGGTCGTCTCTCTCGGGCCGGGCGAAAGGGGGGGATTGGGAAAGGGGGGGGATACGAAATTTGCTGCATGCAGCTGGTTTCGGCCTCACCGAGGGGGCCCATTCCTCGATACATGGGCGCATCCCGGCGCCGGGAGGCGCCGGGAAAATCAGCTACGTGAGCTGATTCTCAAACCCCCCCTTTGCTATCCCCCCCTTTCGCCCGACCCGACTCTCTCTCGGGCCATCTTGGGGTCGTCCCGTGCTCCTCTCGAGGCTCCCTTGGTCCGTGGTGTGCTCATCTGGGGCCCTCTTGGGTCGTCTTCGGCGATCTTGAGGCCGAGCATTCGAGAACCTGACAACGATTGTAAAGCCTCTTGGGCCAGCCTGCAGGGTCCCCATGATAGCCTAGGGGACTCCCACGAGGGAAGCTTTTTGTGATCCTGATGAGGCCACCTTTGAGGAGACGGCGAAAAGGTAGGCTCAGGCATGGGAGCATCAGGCGGGGGTGAAGGAGAACGCAGAATCATAGTTTGTTGTCTGTTTGTCCTCCCCCTCGGTCCGAGGTCGGATGGAGGATCGGCCCACCAGCCTGCGGGCGGTGGTTTAGGGGCAGCCAGGCACCTGGGCCTCCTCCCTGCACCAATAAGGCGGTCCTGGCTTTCGGGCTCCATTGTATTTGTGCGGGGGGGAGGTTGTCGATGGAGTTTGGGGGTCCCTCAGAGCAGCCCCTTCGATCATGGATTGGTGGGTGTCAAGAGAGAGCCACGGGGGACAAACAAGCTGAGGATGATGAGGACAGCGACGATGAGGCTGCGGAAGGAATGATGATGCTGATGATGCTGCTGATGATGAGGAGGAGGAGGATGCTGATGCTGATGCTGATGCTGATGCTGATGCTGATGCTCATGCTGATGCTGATGCTGCTTTTGATGATGTCGATGATGATAATGATGATGATGATGATGAGGAGGAGGAGGAGGAGGAGGATGCTGATGCTGATGCTGATGATGATGCTGATGATGATGATGATGATGATGACGATGACGACGACGACGATGATGATGATGATGACGATGATGATGACGATAATGAAGATGATGATGATGATGATGATGATGCTGCTGATGATGATGATGATGACGATGATGATGATGATGATGATGATGATGATGATGATGATGATGATGATGATGATGATGATGATGATGATGATGATGATGATGATGATGATGATGATGATGATGATGATGATGATGATGATGATGATGATGATGATGATGATGATGATGATGATGATGATGATGATGATGCATGCTGCTGATGATGATGATGATGATGCTGATGCTGATGATGCTGATGATGATGATGAGGAGGATGAGATGATGATGATGATGATGATGATGATGATTATGATGGTGCTGATGATGATGATGATGATGATGATGAGATGATGATGATGATGATGATGATGATGATGATGATGATGATGATGATGATGAGGAGGAGGAGGAGGAGGAGGAGGAGGACGACGACGACGACGAGGTGGAGGCCAGGAAGGGGAACGAGTAGTGCAAGAAGCAAGAATCGTCAGCGGTATGCGCAGCCTCTGCAGCATTCAGATTGCTCCGCGATCTGAGACGGTCGCAGGGCGCAGTAGGCAGACTGCCCAGGGCCGGTTCTGAAAAGAGTGCAGCCGAATGTTCTCGGCTTGAAGAGCTTGCAGCAGGGAGGAGAAGGAGGAGTTGGAGGAGGAGGAGGAGGAGCAGAAGGAGGAGGAGGAGGAGGAAGGAAGGAGAAGGAGGAGGAGGAGGAGGAGGGAGGAGAGGAGAGGAGGAGGAGAGGAGGAGGATGGAGGAGGAGGAGGAGGAAGAGGAGGAGAGGAGGGAGAAGGAGG